GTAAAATGAGGACCCAGATTGTTGGGGGCAAGAGGCTGACTCTGTAAACTGCTTAGAGAAGGCTGGAAAGCATTGAGAAGTGGTATATAAGTCTAAGTGCTATTGCTAAATACAGCCACGGCCCTGCACCAAGAGGCACCTATTTTGAGACCTGGGTATCTCATCACAGGAAAAGGTGATGGAAAAACAAAACGGCACTTACCAGGGTGGGGAAAATATACTTCTGGTCCTTCTCTTGTAGGAAGATGAGAACGTCCGTCATCAGAACCGCCAAGACATCTGCAAGGGAGAAAACGGACAAAGGACCATGGGGAGAAGAACAGTTTACTGCAGGGATTCCCAACCTCCAGGCCAGGCCCACTACCAAACCTTGAGCCGTTGGGAACTGGGCCCCGGAAATGTGAGTGTGCATCCCCACTCGCACGAATGTGTGTGTGCATGCTCCATTTGCACAAATGGTGTGTGTGTGTGTGTGTCTGTCTGCTGCTCGCACACGTGGCGTTGCGTGTGTCAGCCTTGGAAGCGATTTTTTACTTGGAAGCTCTGAGGCTGCCACAGTTCAGTGCCTGGGAATTTGGGAGGGGGATTTCATAGAGAGGCAGAAGATTAAACACAACAACATTCCTTTCTCAGAGAGTCAAGGACATGTTGCCCTGCACCTGGAAGGGAGTGACTGGAAGAATGTCTCCAGTTGGGACGAAGATTTGATTGGGCCATGTGATGGGCTGGTGGGCGCAGGGGATGGATCTTTGATTTCTCTTTTGGGAACAGAAAACCTGGAACTCTCAGATTTCCCAGATGTGCTAATATGACAACTCTAATAAAATGGAACTTTGAGGAAATGTGTCAAGTCATAAAACATTCCTATGCCTGTTTTAGTAGTTGCCATAAAAAGTGGGGGAGGAAATCTGGAAGAGCAGTGCAGCAGTTTGGAATAGAAAGTGTCAACTCATAAAACATTTGGTATACACGTTTTATAGTTGACAACAGAAAGAAGGGGAGAGTTTTAAAGAGCAGGCAACAGTGTGGAATCGAAAGTAAATTCCATTCATATTTTCTTCAAATACTGATTAGATGGCTGAAGTTTCTGCCGTGAAAAAATCTAATTCGAGGGCATGATTGATGACTCTTGGCTATGGATGTTTTTCGTTGGATGATACACCCAGAGGGGTGGGGTGGGGGGAAGCAGGATTAAGGGTGACAGTGAATTACGTATCTCAGAGTTGGCAACGCCTTGGTTAGTGCCGGACATAGAATGGTAGCTTCAAATAAATCCTCTTTAGTTTTGGGAGTGTGGCTCGAGGCTCATGATTTAATTGGAGTAACTGCCGGAACCCAGTCAGAAAGTACATTCCAACTCTTAGCTTTAAAAGATTGTAACTAAACTACCAGAGCTTTTGCCCGCAAATATATTTAATTGGAGAACATGAATGATGACACCTAGCTTGTGAATGTGCTCAATAGGAGAATATGATTTATGACACACCCAGGCGGGAAACAGGGTTACAGGGGACTGTAAATTACGTCTGCCAGAGTTGCCTTCATACAGGGCAGTGCCAGTATGTCGCCTCTAATGAATCCTTTGAAGCTTTTTGAAGTTTGGCTCGAGAATCGTGATTTCATGAGGGCGATTGTTGGAATCCTGACAAAATGTTTGTCTTGGAGTTTCTTGGGTTGGAGTTGGTTAGTTGGAGTGCTGACGCACTCTTGCCCATCACTCAATGCGCAGAATCATCCCCCCCCCTCCCCTGCCAGTCTGCAAAGCCAGAAAGTTTGGTGAACTCTGGTTTACAGGTAGTCCTCAACTTAGAACCGTTCATTTAGTGATGCTTCAAAGTCACAACGGTACTGAAAAAAAGCAGCTGAGGAGCGTTTTTGACACTGATGACCATCGCAGCATCTCCTTAATCACGTGACCGAAATTCAGACGCTTGGCGACTGACTCATATTTATGACCATTGCTGTTTCCTGGGGTCATGTGATCCCCTTTGTGACCATCTGACTAGCAAAGTCATGGTAAGCCAGTTTCACTTAACAACCGGTCTGCTAACTTACGAAGTCCAGTAATTTACTTAACAACCAGGGTACTGACTGATCAACTGCACTGATTCACTTAACCACTGTGGCAAGGAAGGTCTCAAAAACAGAGCGACATTCAGAGCGACATTCAACATCTCACTCAACAACAGAAATTTTGGGGCTCCATTGTGGCCGTTAAGTCAAGGACCACCTGCGTCAATTCGCCTGATCATTGTGCAGAACCTGCCCCTCCTTCGTTCAGAGGCTAAAACCACGGAAGGGATTTCCCCGCCACTCGAGCAAGACCGCTGTTGCACCTTTGAAGCGTCCTGCGGGGGTCTTCCAGAGCATGCAGCCGTCATGGACAACTTTCCGTCGCAGCATCTCCTCCTTGCTGAAGGGCCCCCGCTCTGAGGGCAGGTAGGCCTTCGTCCGGCCATCCACCCGGCTGTAGATTTCCTGCAGCCGCGCGTTCTTCTCCTGATTGTGCACTTCCTGGTCGACGGTGGAGATGAGGTCTTTGACCAGAGACAGAGCTGTGCTCAGATCTTTCTGATCTACTTCATTCCCTGGGGGAAGGGAGGGGGAGAAAGAGAACATTAGCGGATTCATGGAGAGTCTGGGAAAGGAATGGAAGGGAGAGGAGGGGAAACCACATTTGCAGGCAACTCAGAGGCAGCTGCTCAGCCCAGAAGGGCAGACAAACGGCTTTTGAAGCACTCCAAGGGTGTCACGTCCCCGTCGGGAGTCTGACTCCAAGGAGGAAGACAAACAGCTGACACAGGGAATGGGAGTGTTGCTCTGTTGGCTGTGGAGGAAACTGGGGAAGAGCAAAGTCCGACTGGGCAGAGCAGGGGAGAGGTAGAGCAAGGCAGAAGGAATTCAGAGGAAGACCCAGACCCACCCCCTCTTCATCCTAGGGCACGCAAGGGGGAACAGAGAAGGGAGCAATGTGGGTTGTGTGACTTATGGGGGAGGGAAGGGCCCTGATTCCCTTCATTAGTCACACCTGGGAAGACAGTTTAAAGGAAAGGCAGCTGAGAGCGGTGTCTTCTGGGAACAAACGTGAGTTTATCTTGTATTGACTTTGCTTATCAGCGTTCCTGGCATCCTCCCAACTGTGTTGAATTATGGCCGTTCCTTCACGTCTGGAATTCTTGCTCCTGCCCTGCCAGACTGATGACCTCCTCTTGCCTTGACTGGACTTATAGTTACAGTTTTTGTTGACCATGTTTTGGACTTGATTCCCTGCAGCCAAAGGCTGTTCCTGGGAGTTTTTTTCTCCAGCCAGAAGGTAACCAGGACATTGGGGGCAAAGTTGGAGCTGATAAAATGACTCCTACTGATTATCTGACTGTGTTGCCTTTGTGCCACGCCCCTTTGGGTCAACACAAAGGGATTCCCCCTTAGTGATCTTGCTAGAAATAATGGACTGGACAACTTTATAAGAGAGTGGAAACCGTTTGTGGACTTTTTATGTGCCAAATACAATATCAGATGGTTTAACAGAGGGATTTGAAGATTAGTGTAATGTTTCACTTAACCTCTACACACACACACACACACACACACACACACAATATACTACACACACACACATATCACATATACACACACATACACACACACACACAAAGAGACATACTGTGCATATTCCATGATTTAAGAACTAGAAATTCATTCCTTAGGCGATAGAAACAGTCCATAGTACAAATTTGAAGAATTGGTGTCATAGCTATTAACTGTTGATGAATTTTTTTAAAATAACCACACCCTAAAAGATCACCTGTGCCCCACCCTCTCTCTGGTACCTTTGGAGTTTTGCCGGATTCGATCGATGAGCCCAGGATATTTGGTGATGCGCTGGGTGACGAGGAGAATGCATTCTTGCACCCCATGCCGCCGAAGCACCGATGAGCGTGAAAATCTCTGGAAACATCAAGGAAATGGGTGGAAGGGTTATCATCCAGAATACCTCCGCAAGATAGGCAGCAGCACATGTCTGTACACATCTCACCCATCCATCTCGTGCCAAATCTGAGCCCCAAAGCTTCGGTCATGGCTATAAAATGAGGAAATGCACAAACCCTGAAAAGGTTGTGCGTATGGCTACAGGTAGCCCTCGAGTGGGATTGGAATTTCGGTCAGTAAGAGATGCTATCGTGGCTGCCTCTCTGCTATCCAAGCTTCATGAGCTGACAGCCTGACATTATCAACAGGGTTGGAAGGGATTGGAATGTAAGGAAGAAGGGGGGGGGGGGCGTGGAAGCCTAGCTGAGCCTTGTGAGAAGCTCCAGCCAGCCAAGGTCAACTATCAGTATGCAGAGCTGGGAACTGAACACCTGTTACCTGAACAATAGACAAGCACCTGTTTGGACATTCGCAGATAACAGGGGGATGGTCCGGAGGAAAGAGCAAAATTTACTTTGCGTTGTCTGCCCGGGAAACTTCAGATTCAGCTTTGCTACTTCTGTAACCACTTAAACTTCAGTAAAGTATACTTTTAGCAAAAACAAATTTTCTGGAGTCTTTGTGTTCTGACCAAGGCTTCTGAGACCGTAATTACGCACACACTTATTTTAAAAACAAGTTTTGTTTTATTGCAACGCTGGGAATTGTTTTCATTCCCAGCCGGTAATGAATCTCAAACAGTCCCTCGAGATAAGCACCCACCTTTCTTCTACCAATAAGAGAAGTATCAAATGAACTAGAAAAAAACCAACTGAAGTACAAAGAGCTTCAAGAATGAATCTGAACTGAACTGAACGAATGACTTTGCTTCCTGCAAAGGTTTTGTCACCTTTGCCTGTCCTTTATACCTCCCAGCCTTACTCCCAAGTCTCCCCTTTTGTCTTTTAACTGTTCTTGCCTTCTGGCAACTCTGCACATACCCGCACTGGGAACAGGTTCCCCTCTGCCTCACTGCTGCCAGACTCTGGAGGCTCCAGAGGCAGCACCCCACTCCCAGAGGGTCCTGGCTCCATCCCTACATCGGATGCAGGACCCTCGTCCAAGTCCTCTCCAGACTCCCGGACTGGTCCCCGTTCTTCCCCACTGTCCGATTCCGCTGCCGTCTGCACAGGCTGCCGGCGAACCACAACACTTTGCTAGATGACTGAGTGGGATGGTTGACTCACTTAGTAACCTCTGCAGTCCCAATTGCTGACGTTAACTGGATGACAGGGTTACAGGGGAGGCAGCTTCTGGTTGGCTTCCCACAGCCAAATCACTGGGAGAATTCCCAGGTGGTTTGCAAGCAGGATGGCAGGCAGGCAGGCAGGTAAAAATAACTGCTGCCAGGTAGGAGAAGGCAGGAGATGATGCAGAAGGGTTCCTCTGGTTTGTGACCCCTGAAGTCCGCTGCAGAAACAGGCTGGGGAGAAGGGAAAGGATGTGGGAGAAACGGGGAAAGGTCTTACCCGGATGAATTGCTGGAACCGCTTGTCCCGAGTGAAGAGTTCTTTGTAAAGCTTAACGGCTTTGGTGTGGTGGCTGCAGAACTCTGAGTAGGCCTTCTTCATCTGCTCGGCAGCGGGGCCTGAAAACTGGAAGGCAGAATTGCTTGGTCTAGTGGCAAAGGCACCAAACTAGGAACCAGGAGATGGTGAGCTCTAGTTCCACCTTAGGCATGAAAGCTGGCTGGGTGATTTGAGGCCAATTACC